CAATTACATCTTATATGTAATTGTTGTCATTACAATGACTTTTTTAACAACAAAAATTTAAATTTTTTTTTTTAATTAAAAGTATAGTAATGCATATAACAAACATATATGTGTTCAAATATTATTTTTCAAGAAAGCAAAAAAAAAAAAAATAAATAAATTCACACATTTGGGGGAAAAAATGTTCTTATTCAAGAAAGAAAAAATAAAGAATCATTAGCTAAATTCACATAGTTAGATGAATTGCATAAAACCGGAGCTTGACTTGCTGAGGGTGTTTTAGGCAAAAAGTCAAAAAATAACCCACCTAGTTAGTTGAGGGAATTTTATTTATTTATTTATTTTTTTAACAAAAGGAAATTGGTAAAAAGATTTATTGCAAACCCTACAAGTCAAGGGGGTTAAATATAGTTTACCTAATAAAATAAGATTAAAAATAATAATAATTAACGTAACATGTTGTATAACTTGTATTACATCTGATGGTTCACTTCACATATGCGTGTGAACAATGAGTACGGTTAGATACAGTATGACACTTATTTGCCTATAAAATATGATTAAAAAAACTCTATTAATGAACTATGATGTGAAAAAGGATCTCACCCAATTTTTTTGGAATGGGACCATAAAATTATCTTGCCTGTTTACTTTGTACTCTCTATCCAAATATTCTCCCAAATCTAAAATGCATGAAATTGATATGGTTGTAGGAAAAATGAAGCACTCTAAGAGACTTAAAATTAACATAAGAGGGTGGAATCATTTTCTGAGGTTGGGAGTAAAACAAATATAGTTGTGAAAGCGATGGAAAAGAAATAACAAATAAAAACAAATAACAAATAAAAACAAAAAACAATCAAAGGTTCCTTTCTTTTTCTTTTTCTAAAAAAAAAAAAAAAAGGAGAAGTCATTTAAAACTAAATATGTTCATATATATAATTAAGTTATTTGTTCAAACTGATAAAAGAGAGAGAGAGAGAGAGATGGAGAGAGAGAGAGACATTTCATGGCTACAACAACTGTGTACTTCATATACATATATTCTAACCTAATAAGCCTATGTAGACTTATATAAAGGATACAAGGTTAACTAACTAACACAAAGGCCTACTAACTAAATGTAATTACATAATGACCCAACATCTATATTTATATATATATATATATATATATATATATATATATATATATAAACATTCTAACACTCCCCCTCAAGCTGGAGAATATTTATCAAATAATTCCAATTTGGAACAAATAGTTCTTAACCGGTTATGACCCAGTGCCTTGGTAAACATATCAGCTAATTGATCTTCAGACTTCACGAATAGAGTAGAGATGCTCCCACGTAATATTTTTTCTCGAATGAAGTGACAATCAACTTCAATATGTTTGGTCTTCTCATGAAACACAGGGTTTGATGCAATGTGAATTGCTACTTGATTATCACAGAACAATGGAGTAGGAGCTTCAATTGTTAACCCAAGTTCTTTTAGAAAATGCTGTATCCATGTCAACTCACTAGTGGTATGAGCCATTGCCCTATACTCAGCTTCAACACTAGATCGAGCTACCACCATTTGCTTTTTACTTCGCCATATAACAAGATTTCCTCCTACAAATGTGCAGTAGCCTGTAGTAGATCTCCTGTCTGAAGGAGAACCAGCCCAGTCGGCATCTGTAAAACCTTCCACCCTAAGATGACCATTTGATTTATTTAGTAACCCAAAACCTGGAGCTTGCCTGAGATATCGGATAATCCGAAGAACAGCAATCCAACGTCGCATTCTAGGGGCTCCATGAACTGACTTACAACACTAACTGCATATGAAATATCTGGTCGAGTGATAATGAGATAAATTAATTTCCCAACAAGACAACGAAATCTGTCTGGGTCATTAAATAGATCACCCTCATCAGACACAAGTTTTATATTTGAATCCATAGGAGCATCAATTGGACGACCACCTGTGATAACCCTTGGATCCGAGACATGGTTTGATCAGGCCCAAGCCCAAACCTGAGGGAATATCAAACAATCAATATTTTAATGAACACAGAATACAAAGTGAATAAGAAAAATATATTGAGCTAGAAGAAACTAAAATAATAAAATTAAAAATCCTCAATAATATAATTGTTAAAATCCGATAATCCAAACTCCATAAGTTTAACAACTCGGGAATCCATCCAGTGGACTCCTTATTAAAATCTCAACTGAAATTAAATCTGTTACTAAACATAGAAAAGATTCCTATGTAGTCGGAGGAATGAGTGTCTGTATCTGCTCTGCACGTCCAAGCTCTAACTCTGGAACTGATGAACACCTGAAAAATAAAGAGTGGGTCAGGCCCACATTTAAGTCCTGATCTACTACAACCCAAATAGGAATCCGATACGCAGATACATCTTAGAAAGATCCAACAATATCTAGAGTAGTCCATATATGTATATATAGTACACACTATAGGACGCTCGCTAGTCCAGCAGGTCTGTCTCAGCCTGAGTAGAGATACCATGCAAATCGCACATAACGTGGTCATGAGTACCTAGACCTACCAGGGAACAACACCTATGTCCAGTTATCCATCCTAGGCGATATACACGCCCTAACCATGGTCTTGAGACTCAAGCTCATACCATGGCACCATATAATAGATATATATAAAATCCGTACTCCTAATACAAAATATCAACCATCTGTATTATGGTTTGATATATGTAACAAATCCGTCCTAAATCCAAAGTAGGTTATTCAATTATTTTATTGATATGACACAAGTAGGTGATGGACTTAACCAATATGGTTAATCCATACCTTAATCCAAATTAGGTAGAACTTAGTGTTTGAACTAGTCCATACCTAATATATCACCGTCCCATACCAGTACATACAATCCTCCAGTTAACGTAGTTAACCATATGGTATTAAATAGTCATCAACTATACTCCAGAATATGCACAAGATAAATTTAATGCATATACATAAATAACAGGCATTCAATATAGAGCCTAAAATCCAATTCCAATAATGCAAACTGCTATATTAAATTCAAGCATTCACATCCTCCAACATAGTCCATGAATTGATACAGTTAATAGAAATTTAAGTATCAATTAAACCCAACCTAAGCATAGGTAATTTTAATTAATTCACTATACTTATAACCCTATGGAAACATGATTTTACATAATTAAATCATCCATAAAACTTGCTAAGTTCCAGTGGATACAACAGTGTGCAATTGACTAAGTTTTCTTTAAACTTTATATTGCTCCTTCAATTAATCCCAGATTAGATTAATGTTCCTCTATACTAAGTTTAGGTCTAAAACAGTTCCATACAATATTTAAAACAGTTTAAACGAAGTCCCAATACTCTGTACAGTCCAAACCACGCACAAAAATCACACAGTATGAAATTTCTGGGCAAGAGCAGGCTCCAAATTTTGAGAGCCTGCTCTATTAAGGTGAGAGCCGGCTCTAAGGTTGCAAGAGCCGGCTCCACACCCTTGGGAGCCGGCTCTAAGAGTAGAAGGAGTAGGCTCCTCCTCTTTTAGAGCCTGTTCTTCCTCCCTTAGATGCTGTCGTCTGTTTCTGCGTCTTCTTCTCCAACTCCGGTGATTAACAGAGCCTCTATGGTGTTTTTAAATCCTTGTTCTAGGTTCAAACTCAGTCCTAGGTACATCTTAAACCACTCACATCCCACCATAACATGTATTGAACACAACCTTTTGAAGCAACGACTACAGAATCTCAGTTAAAAACTTAAGTGATTCAAAACAGATTTATTCAGTGAAGTCGAATACTATTTTTAATACTTGATTCAGGGTTTAATCTTAGACCCAGATTCATTACAAGTCATCAATACATAATCATGATCTCAATTTTAATTAAAGCTTAAACGCAACCACAGAAAAGAACAAGTAACAGAAACATCAAAGATTATGTAAATCACTTATTTCAACGAGATTTATATAAATCATACATGCATACAAGACTTGATATAATGTTTGTTTAATCCGTTTTTAACCTTTAATTAATCCCTGGAGTCTAACTAGGCATGCACAGAACACGAATTAAAGGGGAAGAGAAGAACAGAGACTTGCCTTTTCAGAGTTGAAACACAAATTCCACGTCTCTGAGTTTTCCCTTACTCTGTTTTGCTATGCCCCCCTTGCTCACTCTCTGTTTCTTAGCAGTCCCTTGTGTTACAGACGTAAACTTATGTATTTCTAAAACCCTAAACCCTAGTAAGTGTACGTTTTTATAGGCTTAGATATAACCCTAATCCATGCATAACTCGGCCCATAGAACTATCTAGGTTAAAATACAATGTCGGCTAAGCTTAAACCTAATATAACTCTATGTGCCACCTTCCATACAGTCACGTAGAAAAAAAAATTAACTGTAAATAACACAATTCACTTTTAAACAATTAAAGTAAACTCATTAAATCATTTAAGTTAAGGAAATTAAGTTAAGTAAAGCAAACCAACTAAATAATTAATTTCAATTACAACAATTAAATAAATTAAATAAATGAAATTAAAACAAGTAAGTAATCAAATGCAACTAAAACAATTAAATCAAACCAAAGAAATAATCAAAAGCAATTTTAAATAATAAATTAAATACCAGGACTATCCTTTTGAAATTAGGGGTATTACACCACCCAACATACATGTTTCTTCTAATAAGTCCAACACATATTTTCGTTGGGATAAACTTATACCCTTCTTAGATCTAGCAACTTCAATACCCAAGAAATACCTAAGTTTACCCAAGTCTTTAGTGTGGAATCGATATTGCAGAAATAACTTCAGCTTAGCAATGCCTTCAGAATCATCACCTGTGATCACAATATCATCAACATACACCACAAGAAATATGAAGCCAGCTTTAGTGCGCTGGTGAAATACCGAATGGTCGGTCTGACATCTGTTAAGACCAATTTTTAATGCCGCCTTAGAGAATTTTCGAAACCAAGCCCGTGGAGACTATGTCAATCCATACAGGGCCTTTTTAAGGCGATAAACAGTGTGAAGATGCTCCCCCTGAGCAATAAGCCTAGGTGGTTGCTCCATATAAACCTCTTTTGCCAAGTCACCTTGCAAAAAGGCATTTTTAACATCTAACTGAAACAGAGGTCAATGCCTATTAGCAGCAAGAGAAATCAAAACACGAATAGATGAAATCTTAGCAACAGGGGCAAATGTCTCATCATAGTCAATACCATAAGTCGGGGTATAACCTTTGGCAACAAGCCGTAATTTTATTATGAGACAAGTTTAAAAATCGCAACGCATCAAGACTAGAAAAATCATCTAGGATTGAACCAGATAAATTATTATGTGAGAGATCTATGCTCGTAACAAGTCCAAGGATATCCTTGTACTCTGATTCTCTCCCTTTTGTCACCAATGAGAGAATATCTTTGTAGACTTCCATTGGAATATTATAAAAAGTTTCTCCACTTCCAAATATGTAATGATATGTAGAATTTGTGATAGTCTTCAACCATTTTGGTATCGGTCCTGATAGGTTATTATTTCCAAGACCAAGGATTATAAGCCCAGAAAGTTGGCATATTTGTGATGGTATATTGCTAATAAATTTATTGGATCTTAAGCTGAGAACCTTCAAGTCTAAAATGTCTCCAATCCAACTCGGAATGAGTCCGGTAAATTTATTTCCACCTAAATTAATGAGGCTCAAATAGGTGCAGTTTCGCATTGATAAAGGTATTTCTCCAAAGAAATTATTATCATACAATTGCAAAGATTCGAGAAACCTCAGCGAACCCAATGAATTTGGAATTTTACCAGATAGGTGGTTGCTTCCCACGTTCACATGGGTCAGATGTTGCCAATGCAACAAGCAATGAGAAAGTTCACCTAATAATATATTATTTGATACATCCAGAACCTCCAACATACTTTCTCCATTCATCTCTTGGCACAAGAATGAGGAAATGGGTCCAAAGAAAGAATTGTTTGCAAGGTTCAAATATCTAACATTTGGAGACAAACGTGGTAATGAACCCTCGAAACGATTAGAACTAATATCAACAAAACTATAGTTTAGGAACACGTTCGATATGTCTCCATTTATCTGGTTGTTGGAGAGATTGATAGAATCAATACCTGACACCCACTTCCACAACCATTCTGGAGCTGCACCTGAAATTCCCGATTGGGAAATGTCTAATACCCACAAAGATACTTGTGTTTGTAGCCATGAAGGAAAACTTGGACCCATATTGCAGGAGCTCATACTAAGCATCTCAAGTTGGAAGGGAGGAACCCAATTAGAGTTCACGTTGAAGAAAAGAGGGTTTGAAGACATATACAAAATCTTCAATTTTGAGAGTCTGGCAAAATTCACTTCGGAAACAATGCCTCCTAAGGAATTATGACCTACCAATAATTTCTCATGATTTGAGAGGAACCCCATACTTTTTGGAAAAGTGTCACTCAATTTATTATCAGAAAGATCTAAGAATCTCAAGGACGATAAGTTTCCAATAGATGCTGGAATGGGACCATACAATGAGTTCCCCGTAAGTGACAAATATTCAAGATGTTTCAATTGCCCAAGCCCATCTGGGATTTCCCCTGTAATTAGATGATTGTCTCCCAAGTCTAACTCTCTCAACAGGCGAAGATTTGAAATGATGCTAGGTATTTGACCATATAGGGAATTGCGGGATAGGAAAAGAGACTGAAGATTTGAAATGATGCTAGTATTATATATATATATATATATATATATATATATATATATATATATATATAATACTAGGAGTACCAGGCACATAAAGGAAAATAATTAAGTGGGCATCTAATTTTGGTTCCCAAAACTAATTTACACTTAAATTAAGGCCCCTTAAGTTGTTTAATTAATTGCCATATTTTAAAGAAATTATATTGCCTGTGGAAAAGAAAAATTAAAAATAATAATAGTAGTTAATTTGGCTTCTTCATATGAATATTTCTGGCTCTACATGTTAACATGTCGTTATAAAAATCACGACAAACAAATTTAAAGCTAAATTGCATAATTCTAAAGTGAAGCTACAAGTCGAGTAAAGTTCAAACTTTTACATGCGGACGTGTCTGACCTGATATTTCAAGAGACTTCAAGGCCAAAAAATTACCAATTGAACCACTCACTTGGAGTTGAAAACAAAAAAATAAATAAATAAAAAAGTTACATTTTGATTTCAAGACTGGTTAGGTATTAGATAATTGATGAAAGTTTCTTATGAAAATTTAATCAATTATAAATATTATAAAACACATACACCACAATATTTTACATGGTGTTAGAAATCATAGCAACTTAGTCTATATTTTGGTGGTGTCAAGATAGAAACTTTTACCGAATACTTTTGGACCACTTATTACCATCTGGGAACCTTTCATTGAGCAAAAGATTCATTTAATACTTCTGATCCACTTAGATGGGAAATTATTATATGATCCAAAGATTATTCTACGGACTATATGATGATAATGCAATTGACCACGCTAATAGTCCGATGTCCATGTGATAATGGACCCACATGGATGGGAATGCAAGTAATGCTTGATGACTTGACTTAAAGTCTTCCAATAATCCAATGTGAGAAGTTATTGCACAGTGCTAGTGATGACACTAAATGGACACATCAATTTTAAAAAACAGATGACATTAAAGACTTGTTGACTTAGAATGCAACCTACCGTGAGTATCACAGGAGAGTCCACGACCACTGGATGTGAGATTTCATTTTCTTTCTATCCATCTATTATGTAAAATTATAAAGAATAAAAGCTAAGTTAAAATTTTTTTAAAGAAATTACACTGACGTCCTTTAAATTTGAATAATTATTTTTTTTATTCAATCAAATAAAATGAGAAAAAAGTCTATTATTTTATGCCATTAAATTATTTTTTGTAATTAAAATTTAATTTTATCCATCTAATTATTTTATAGAATGTCCATCTCATATATATGTGTTTATATATATACATATGTATTGTATAAAATATAAAATATAATATAAATAATACAATAATAGTATATATAATATATAAGATTTAAACTTATATGCAATTGCAGTCATTACAATGACTTTTTTAACAACAAAAATTTAAAAATCTTTCTTTAATTAAAAGTATAGTAATGCATATAACAAAAATATATGAGTTCAAATATTATTTTTCTTCACACATAGAGGGGGGTTGGATGAATTGCATAAAACCGGAGCTTGACTTGGTGGGGGGTGTTTTAGGCAAAAAGTCAAAAAATAACCCACCTCGTTAGTTGTGAGTTTTTTTTTTTTTTAAAAAAAGGAAATTAGTAAAAAGATTAATTGCAAACCCTACAAGTCAACCGGATTAAATATAGTTTACCCAATAAAATAAGATTAAAAAAAAAAAACATAATTAACCTAACATGTTTTATAACTTATATTACATCTGATAGTTCACTTCACATGTACTTGTGAACAATGAGCACGGTTAGATGCAGTATGACACTTATTGGCCTATAAAATAAGATTAAAAAACTATATTAATGAACTATAGTGTGTAAAAGGATCTCACCCAATTTTTTTGGCATGGGACCATAAAATTATCTTGCATGTTTACTTTGTACTCTCTATCCAAATATTCTCCGAAATCTAAAATGCATGAAATTGATAAGGTTGTTGAAAATATGAAGCACTCTAAGAGACTTAAAATTAACATAAGAAAGAGGTGGAATCATTTTCTCAGGTTGGGAATAAAACAAATATAGTTGTGAAAGCGATGGAAAACAAAAATAAGAAGAAATAACAAATAAAAACAAAAAACAATCAGACACTGATAACTCAATATTCAAAAAACAATCAAAGGTTCCTTATCTTCTTCTTTTTTTTCTTTTTTCTTTTTTTTTTTTTTTAAAAAAAAAAGGGAGAAGTCATTTAAAACTAAATATGTTCATATATATATAATTAAGTTATTAAGGTGTTGTGAATTGATAATTCAATTCAATACTTAATTTTTAATTTTGTAAAATAGCAGAGCACATAAATAATGCAAAAAATATAATTATGTGTCCGAGACACACAAAGGGAAAGAAATAATGTGAAGCAAATAAAAACAAAAAGAAAAATAGGACACTAACAAAGTTGAACCAACTATAATCAGAAACCCTTTGATCTAATTAACTATAATAGAGGTAAGACCCAATGTATACACATTAAGAAATTAATCCAACGCACACATGCACTCGCTATTGTCCCAATGAAGACGAACCCTCAAGCTCCCAATGTTGAAGTAGGAGAATGAAATCTCTGCAGAAGGAAAGACTCTTGAAAACGTGGGACACTTGGTTAAACTATCTAATGCTTTCCACTTGACTGGGTGGTGTCATTTTCCTGTTTTTGAGGCTGAGAATGATCAAAAGACTTTGAATGAAGATTTAACTTACAACACCAACATTAGAATAAAAAATTAAAAAATTAAAAACAAAGAAACTATCAAATATAATACAGAAGATGGATCAAGGTGCTTAATTATATATGGATGCAACCACAATTAACTATATTCAACTTTTTTATTATAATCATTTAAGTCAAAAATCTGTTTTTATAACCTTTTCTTTTTATCTTTTTTTGCTTTATTTATTATTATTATTTCAGAGGACTTTTTTGTAAACTATAAATTACACATTACTAACTTCACGTACTACTTAATTAGTAATTTGAAAACTTTAAGGACTTGAAGTTGTAAAATTATTTGGTATATATATATATATATATATATATATATATATATATAGGAGTCCAAGGCACATAAAGGAAAATAAAATTTGTAAGAATTTGATAAGAAATAATAAATAAAAACAAAACGAAAATAGGACCAATTAGGATAACTCTCTCTCTATATATATTTCATTGACTAGAAAAGTATAATTTAGGCCCATTTGGAAATGAAGACCACAAAACTTTAATCAACCAGAAAACTATGTCTACCAATCACCAATTTCACAAAAAATAAATTGGTGTTCTTAATTCACTAATTAAGGGGCTTCTAGGGCATTCCTCAATAGCGTAATTGGTAGAGAGTTCAGTTCCCTAAATGAGTGTGTTTGTGTTAAAATCTCCCCTCTTCTTGATTTGCTAGGAAAAATAAAAATAATTAAGGGGAGATGACCTTAATAAGCTCCTTAAGTTGTTTAATTGATTGCCATTTTTTAAAGAAATTATATTGCCTGCGGAAAAGAAAATATATTAACTGCACTAGCAATGCTTCAGGAATTCTTCCATATGAGTATTTCTGGCTATGCATACTAACATGTCGTTATAAAAATTATGACAAACAAATTTAAAGCTAAATTGCATATTTCTAAAGTGAAGCTATAAGTTGAGTAAAGTTCGACTTTTACATGCAGACGTGGCCAACCTGATATTTCATGAGACTTCAGGGCCAAAAACTTACCAATCGAACCAATTACTTAGAGTTGAAAACAAAAAAATAAATAAATAAAAAGTTACATTTTGATTTCAAGACTGATTAGGTATTGAATACTTGATGAAAGTTTCTCATGAAAATTTAATCAATTATGCATATTACAAAACACATATACCATAATATTTTACATGAGGCTCGAAGTCGTAGCACCTTAGTCTATATTTTGGTGGTGTCAAGATAGATACTTTTATGGTATACTTCTGGACCACTTATTACTGTTTTGAAGCCTTCCATTGAGACAAGTATTCATTTAATACTTTTGATCCACTTTGATGGAAAATTATTATATGATCCAAGATTATCAGACCAACCATATGATGACAAGTAAATAAAAAATGCAATGGAGCTTTATATGTGGCCTTGTAATTGACCACGCTGATAGTCCCATATCTATGTAATAATGGACCCACATGGATGGTAATGCTTGATGACTTGACTTAAAGTCTTCCAATAATCCAATTAGGGCTGCAAATGAATCAAGCTGTTCATGAACAGCTTAGGCTCGGCTTGCTCCAGGCTCGGCTCAGGCTCGGTTCGCTAGTAAATGAGTCGAGCCCGAGCCCAATTTTTAGGCTCGTTTAATAAACGAGCCGAGCCCGAACAACGCTGGGCTCGGCTCGTATAGGCTCGTTATATATAATATAATATATAGTAAATGACACATTAAAAAACATAACTTAGCAAGTTAGCATAGCTCGAACCCAAGACTTCATTATGAGAGAATAGAACTCCTAACACTCCTCCAAAGCTACCACTAATCCACTTTGTGTCTTTAAAATACAACATTTTAAGACAATTTTTTAAATAGATTATCTAATATACTAATATACATATACTAAATAGATTATCTAAGACAATTTTAAGAGAATCAATAACTATACTACAATTTTTTTAATCATTATCGGTAGAAATGATAATTATTTTAAATTAATAATTTACATATCAAAAGCGAA